ATTGGAGGGAGGGGAGGAACTGGGAATGGGGTAGACAATTGATAGAATGAAATGATTTAATCGCCCCACCCTCATTCCTAGGAGCATAAAATTTTTTTACTTGCAAAAAAAGATGTTGGTAGCTTAATCAATTGGATGGTGGTCTAATGATTTATTTAAAAACGAGCTCTCTCACACAGTCCCCTTCAATTCACTGAAGTGGGTAGTGTGAGGTTTCCTGCACCCCCTACCGAAAAAGCAAAGTCCCTGTGGGGCAGCCAGCCTGCATTACAAAGGAGAACCATAGTGGCAAAGGTTGGGTGAGAGGGGGGGGGGCGCTAGTGGGGAGGGAAGGAATTGTGGGTCATGGAGAAAAGCAGTGCAGAGCCTGAGGACTGATAGAGGGGTTCCTCAATGCTTCCTTGGCCCTCATCTTACCACCTTGCACCTGTGAACTCCCTTGGCGTGTGTGAACAGAAATAAGAAAAGAGTCAGTGAAGACCATGATCTCTGAGCTTGGCTGGTCTTTTGGTCCTTCACTCGGAGTCTTCTTTAAAGGTTCATTGTTATGCTAAATTGACAGAACATTTCCCCCCTGTTTTCACAGCCTACCCAGAGGTTTCTTGTTTCATGCATTCTTCAGTCAAAGCCTTATAGGTTTCATCCCCAGCAAGGGTAGAGTCATGGAAGACAACAGAACTGTTTTGGGGATCCCGCCTGGGTCTCGGGTCTTGCAGGGCAGAGTCACGGTGGGCATGTCTGGCTGCCTTCAGTTGCCATGTCTCACCCCACAGAGGTTCTTTCCCAGCGCCAGATTAGACGCATGGCTGAACTAGCCTGTTGTGAGGCCCCACAGTCAGGCTGAGGCATCTGACTCCATCTGCTTTCCTACAAAAAGTTCTTAATGTTCTCTTTGTTTCAAATTCAGCTGGATGCATTGCATCTTCCTCTTGTGTTCCTATAAACTGCTTCATTTCTCCTCCCCCTGAAGACAAGTCCCTGCCTTCATTTGTCTCCATCTCGCTCATTGGCAAGGATGCTGCTGTGGTTTTACAGCCATCATAACGTGCCGTGAACATGCCCGTAGGGCAGCACCCTTGTTCCCACCTCCGCATCTTTCCAAGTGCCGACACAGCCATGGGGTGGGGGTTGTGGCCATCTGGGCACTTGATAAAATATTGGGGGTTTCTGCTTGCTGGTTTCTGATCTAACTGACTTAACGTGTCCACCTCTCTGGAACTTCATCCCTGGGGGTAGAGGGGGCTGGAGAGCAGCAGAGATCATGGGGGTGGGGGGTGGGGGTGGCCATGCCAGGGTTTGGGGGAGGGGTTAGGGTTAAGGACTGTTGGGTAGCCCAAGCTGGCCAGTAGCAGCCCATCTGAAAGGGGCAGGGATTGTTCCACATTTTAAATTGCACCTGATTCTTCTGTACGTAACTTGGGTAAATATCATTCCGTGGCAATTCCCTGTGTGTGCAAAGCCTCATGTCCTTATCCCAGTCACATAAAAACATAACAAGTATTTGCCGGCTGGCAGGATTATTCTGACTCCTGGCGTTGGGGGTTCTCCACTGGCCGTTTCCTGAGGGGATGAGATGACGCTGGCTGGTGTTTCCAGCGTGTGTGGGGGCCGCAGTCAGCTCCCTCTGCCAGCCGCTGAAAGAGGGTCTCTGGTCAGCATCCTCCCATTGGTTTCAGTCGGTCTCGGGTGGCTGAAGTCAAAGGACTCTCCCTGGTCTTTGAGGACCAGCCAGAATAGGTGTGTTTCGAGTCAGTCGCCACAGTCCTGTCCCAATGGCCGGCGTTAACCCAGAATATGAGAGAAATGTTTGCCTCCCTCCCCCCTTTTTGCCTGGCAAGCTCTTTTCTTTCTTAGAAAGAGGCCTCCTGGCGAAACTTAGTGGAACAGATGGTGTCCTATGCTTAGTGGGTCTTTGGGTGTGGGGAAGCTGTGTTGGTGAAGGCCGATAATCAGTCCCTGGCTCAAGCTTTATTTTCTGAGTATGTTTGAAGGGACTGTTTTGTGTTAATGCCCCTTCTCAGGGTACCAAACTTCCTGTAGGGTCCACACGGTTGAGGTACTACCCCTGTTCTAGCCTGTCTGCCATATGATTACAGCTGCGTGCATATTCTCATCTGTCTGTCCCATTGGGACCCCTCCCCTCCGCTAAAGAGCTCAAGGACATTCTGCGTGGGTCTTCTTCCCTTCCTTCTTTGTCCTCACAACGGCCCTGTGAAGTGAGTTATGCAGAGTTTGGCCCAAAGTCAGCCTGTGAACATCAAGGTCACGTGGGCATTTGAGGCTAGGCCTTTGTTCTTAGTCAGGTATGGAACCACTACCCTTCTCAGGCACCACCACCAAAACTGCCCAGATTCTGGGTTCAGATTCTGCAAGTGGGGTGAAGCCGGACTTGCCCAATGTGTGACTTGCTGAGTGCTTGGCCTGTCCCTTGTTTCTGTAGTTCTGGACAAGCAGGAAAAGCCAGAGGATGATCAAGGCCCTGGTCTGTTACTGCTGGGGCCACCGGTCTGTGTTTGGCTCGGTGAGTCACGCTTCAGGTGGGCCTGGAGCAGACGCTGGCGCTTGCACTCCCTTGTCGCTCCTTGGCTCTGTTTCCAAGATCCCGGCTTCCACGGAGTTTGGGTCATGGATTGAAGATGTGGAAAGAAGGACCCTGGGCACAGCAGCACAGGTGAAGGAGGGCTGGAAGTTCTCCTCAGGACCCGCTCTGGCTTCTCTCCCCACCCACGAGGGTTCCATTCATTCTTTTCTGTATAGAAAGTACAGGAAGCTGGCCTATACGGTTATTGTGTTTAACCCAGACGCCATTTTGGAGCCTGTTCAGCGTCTGGGTACTCTCCCTGTGCATGATGAAGTGGTCCTCTAACTCAGACTCTGCTGTCCTTGTTGCATACAGAAGAGAGCACCCGAACCGGACAGTGTCACGACTGCTTGACTGTGAGGCTGCTTTCCCCATGCCCCGGGGGGGGGGGGGAGCACCTGGGTTCTCCTCCGGATAGTGTGGGAGATCCCCTGCCTCAAGGAACTGCAGGCTTCCCCACTTCCATTCAGATGTCGCCTTTTGTGTGCAGTGAGGGGGCAGAGAGGGGGAGTGTGCAAACACCGGGCATAGTTCTCGGTCTTTTATTTTGTTTGGGGACCACAGCTCAGTAGCGTTGCTTCGATTTTTCTGTACTCAAGCTTGTCTAATTCCTCTTTTGCCCACTTAGCTCGGGAAGGGAGCCAGTTCCTGTTTTGGCAAGCATTTGCTGACACTGCCAAGTCTGTGGTCCTGAGTTTGTAAGGGATGTTGTGTTGTGTTGTGTTGTGTTGGGATGTGTGCAGCTCGTAGGTCTAGGGATGTGCATTCGTCTGCAGACTCGCAGCTGTTTTTGTGTATCTGTCCTGTATTGTGAAACAGTCAGTGTAAGTCTGGCTGTATTCAGGGGCTCCATAGTGAATGCTAAAGAGGAATAAGGCCAGCTGTCGGAGGAGACCAGCGTCTGGGGAGCTGGGGGGGGGGGGCTGAGGGTCAGAGTCCTGTTTTGCTTTGGAGCCTGCTGGGCTAGTTGTAGGACGGTGGTCATCTCTCACAAAACCTCCCCCAGCAGTGGCTGTGAGGTGAAGAGATGCCTTTCTGAGCAGCATGGATGAGCAGAGCATAAATATCCTCGTAGATTTTAAATTGTGGTTTTTTAGTTTTTTTGGGTCAATAGTTGTTGTTTCATTATATTGTAAGCCACTTTGAGTTCCACAAAGTAGATAGGCCACTAATAAATGTTTTAATTTAATTTTAAAACTACAGCTGCCATGTAGCTCACCTTGCTGACAATTCAGGGCGCACATTTTTCAAATACCAAGAAGTCTGATAATCAGAGGTTGGCTTGTTGATCTTTTTGGGACCCCCCTGCTGTGCTCAGGAACATCAGAAGTACCCTTAAGTAATGATGGTCGGCTTTCCCCACTGGACAGCCTGGTGGTGGTGGTGGTGGTGGGGTTTCAGGCACACAGGTTGGGCTTGAACCCCTCTTACAAATATAAGAAAGAAAAAACAACCTGCCACTGCTCATAATTGATTTCTGTCTTGACTCCAGGAACGGAAAAAGAAATTTGAGAAGGACGGGGAGAAATTTTACTCCATGCTGGATCGCCACCTGAATTTATCTTCAAAGAAGAAGGAAGCCCAGCTGCAAGAGGTAGGCGTCGGCCTTTTCATTTCTCCCTGTGGCGGAGCACCCGGCAGCAAAGGCTGAGGCGTGTGGAAGGTGCTAGATGAGGTCAAGGCAGCCCAGGCCTGTGGCTCAGAGCATTTCTGCTGAATACTGGAGGGGTGCCGCCAGCTCGAGCATGGAGGGCCACTTAGTCCATAGCTCAATGGCGGAGCCAGTTCTTTGCCGGCAAAAAGCCGCTGACTGAGTCCTTGCCATCTCTTGTTAAGGATCCTAAGGACTTTGCTGGAATCACTAGAGCAGGGCAGCTCCCCCCCCCCCCCAGTGTGGGCACTTTTGGAGTTTTGAGAGACGGTCTTGGGCACCACCAGAAAATGGCCCCCTTGGATGAAGTTCTGAGCCAGGCATCCTCGATGGGATCTTTGCTTTGGAGGAACGAGGTTCGGTTTCCAAAGGGTGAGAGAATGGCTTGTTCCCTTCTAAGCTCGAAGACATAGGACACTGTGTGCTTGGCCAAGATGCAGCTGTGACCAGAGGTCATTTCGGGGGGGGGATCGCAGTTCCCCCGGGTGAGGTACGGGGGGCGGGGCACAAGACGAAGCCCCGCCCCCTGCTTCCGGCCGCCCCGCTTCTGGCCCTCATTCAGCCAGGAGGAGGCAGGAGAAGAGGGAGGGTAAGTTGCTTCCTCCCTGCCTCTCCCCACCCCTGCCTGCCTGGGGCCAGGGAGGGCCTTCGCGGGGCTTCCTTGCACTCCCGCCGGCCTTGCAGGTCCACTGCCGGGCCCCTCATGGGGCTCAGCAGTGGAGCTGCAAGGCCGCCAGCGGCGGCCGGGACTGTTGGGGGCAGGGTGTGTGGCCCTATGTCACACTTCCGGTGATGTCAGGGGGTGTGGCCTTATGACACACTTCCGGTGATGTCAGGGTAATGAGTTATGCTAATGAGTTCCCCTAGCTCTTTTTCTACGAAACGACGCCTGGCTGTGACACAAAACTAGCAAAACAACTGTGTGCTATATTTCCCACAACATATTCATAAAGGATACTTCATTTAAAGAGTAATGTATCTGTTATATGAAGTCAATATGCCCATACAATCCATCATAGGAAAATACAGAGGCCAAAGAGTAAATCTACAGAATTATATATAGAAAGTCCAACACTCTTCCCAGGTAATTTTTCAGTGTTTCGGACCTCTGGTCCTTCCTCAGGAACAAAGAACCACTGCTGGGAATCCCTTTTCATTTCCTTACAAGGTCATGCTTTTCTATTATTTCAGTGTTGGGCACGGTCTCCCTAGCTCTAAACAGCACCCTTATAGGTTACTACAGTGTTTGAAACACTGAAAAATTACCTGGGAAAAGTGTTGGACTTTCTATATATAATTCTGTAGATTTATTCTTTGGCCCCTGTATTTTCCTGTGATGGATTGTATGGGCATATTGGTGTCATATAATAGATACATTACACTTTAGATGAAGTCTCCTTGAATATGTTGTAGGAAATATAGCACACGGTTGTTTTGCTAGTTTTGCATCACTTTTTACTCTGTGCCGTACCTTTGTGGTTGCTGCAAGATGCAGCTGTGACACGACTGTCAGGGATAAGCTCAGTGTCCCGCTTTTATGAAGGGACCAGAAACCCTTTGTCGTTTTCTGTTCTGCTCTGTGCCCCGCTTGGGGCCCTTGGATTTGATCCCCAACATTAAAAAAGCAGGCAAGCCCCAGGCCTTCCGTTGGCAGGCACCATGGCATGCCTGGGCCATGGGGAGCCCGTGGTCTGGGGTCCGTGGTCTGTCTAGGCTCGTATGGCAGGGCTCCTGGTTCACTCCTTTCAAGAGATCTTCCTGCTTTTTGAAGAGCACCATTCCCGTTTGCTGGCCAGAATGGATATTCTGAAATCAAGGTAAGGGTCAGATAAGAAATGTGGCTAATATAATTTAGCGCTTGGGGAAGAATGCCAAACACACGCTGGGTTGTTTCCCAGTTTTTAGCAGCTCCTGAGTATGTGGCGGCCATAAATCCGCGCGTTCCACAACACTCCTCTTTCTCTCTAATTTAGGCTGACCTGCAGGTGGATAAGGAACAACATGTTTTCTTTGAATCTTCCCTGGAATACGTGTACCAAATCCAAGAAGTGCAGGAAAGCAAGAAGTTCTGCATCGTGGAGCCTGTAAGCCTCCTTCCTTTTGCTCTGTCTTTCCAAATTCTTTGTGCGCTGCTATTTCCATCTATTTAATTTCTTTGGAAGGAGGGAGAAAGTGAAGTGTAAAGGTGTTAACATTAGAGGGGCATTCGTTCTCCCTCTCCCCTCACTGCTCCAGGCACTGACTGCCCACTCTGTGCACAGGTGCCCCCCCCCCCCATTCTTAATACGGTTGTTTTCCATGCAGGAAGTTTTAGCACAACCAGTGGCCCTGAAATGGAAAACCTTCTGCCATTATGAAATGTCTTGGCTTTGTTGCTGTTCTCCAGGAGAGTGCAGTGTCACTAATGGTTGCTGCTACACACAGGATGCACAAATAGGCCCTCGCCCTCCCTTTTCTCTTTCACTGTCTGAAGGCCTCTAGTCTAGTAAACAGGGGAAGCTTTGATTTCTGCTGCTTCTGGCAGACAGATCTTGATGTTGTCACCGGTACTGCATGTGGGCATAAACATCTCCATGCAGGATGGCCTGATGCATCATCTGAAGAATTAAATTCACCTGAAGTGAATTTGGACATTCCTGATGGGACAAAACTTCACAGGAATTGTGAGCCAATCTGGTGGAGTGGTTAGGAGCCCGTGGACTCTAATCCGGGAGCACCGGGTTTGACTCCCCACTCCTCCCCATGCAGCTGCTTGTGTGACCTTGGGTCAGTCATAAGTTTTTCAGAGCTGTTCTCTCAAGAGCAGTCCTCGGGAGAGCTCTCTCAGCCCCGCCTGCCTCACAGGGTGTCTGTCTGTTGTGGGGAGGGGGAGGGAAAGGAGTCTGTAAGCTGCTCTGAGACTCCTTCAGGTAGTGAAGGGCGGGGTATAAATCCAACCTCTTCTACTCTTCTTCTAAAAGAGTTTCAACGACTACTCCCCTTCCGTCATCACATTCTGATCTTCCCTGGCTGTGACCTGACCTTTCTGTCACACCCTCTTCTCCGTCCCTGTGGTGTCCCCTGGGCTTGGGGTGGGGAGAGAGATCCACCTCTTCAGGATTCATACTGTCTGAAGAAAAACCAGGGGTCCCACCAAGTCCTGTTTGTTGCATGTGTGGATCTAACTGCTTCCCTTGACTCAGTTGATTGGAATCGATCCCGGCTGAAATTAGCGGGCACAGACATGCACAAGCGTCTGCCATTCCTGTTATGGGAATTTTATTCTGGTATTTTTGCAAGAATCAAAGTGAGCCCCCTTGGGGCACCTGGCCGAGGAGGTTCCAATCACTCAGGGGGTTAAACGGGGATATATTCTGGCCCCTCCGCTTTTTAATTTGTATTTAAGTGATATTGCCTATCTGGATCTGAATTCTTCCCACCATCCCTGGGTGGTCAGGTCTCTTTCATCCATATCAACAAGAAGGACGTTGCACAAAGTGGGCCGTTTCTGAAAGGGTGAGGCTTTAAGTGTTAATTTTGCCCAGACTGAGGTCTTTGGGAAGAGACCTTGAAGGCTTAAGTGGTGGATAAATGGTAATTCCATTGAACAGCTCAAAACCTTTAAATATCTTGGGGGGTAACCTTTAGTGAAACTTTCTCTTGGGAAACCCACTTGGTGATCACAAGGTCTTTAGTTTCAAGGACCACAGGTGCCATCTTGAATTTTTACAGCTTGAAAGGAGGATTTTTGGTTGAGCCCGCTTTGAAATTGTTCCATAGCAGCCCATTCTACAGCTCCTCTATGGTATAGAGTTCTGGGGCTGGAATGAATGTCTGGTCACGACCCTGGAACCCATTCAGAATCTCTTTTGAAAGAGAATTTTAGCTTTGCCTCACGGAATTCCGGCAGCTTTAGTGCGGGCTGAACTTTGATTCCCCTCAATTAGAGCTTGCATACGTTTCACCGTGTTCAGATTCTGGTGAAAGCAAAGGGATCTTTCTGTTAGTCTGCTTTTAAGGCAGAGCATTGTGCTGCTGCACTCAGAGGTGGCTTGCATAGATGGCCTCAACAGGACTCCTTGCCCTTATTCCCTCGTGGGTGACTCTCGGGGGTGTCCCCTTGCCTGGTGTCATTATATGAGATCGGATTTTTATGATTGATGCTGCACTGAACAGAACTTCAATCTCTGCTCTAGATTGTCTCCCTGGGTCTAACGGTTTAAAAAGGACCATGGCAGAGCTTCTTCTCAGTCCAGCATTCCTTTCCCCAGTCTTAGAATGGTTTTAACATCTGTACGATTTCAAACCATACCTCCTGCCATTTTAGCAGTTTGCTCTACAAAACCCCCCACCATTCGCTCGTCCGTGTTCTTGTGGAGCTTTAGCCCCAGAAGTTCTTGTACATTATATTTTCCGTTTTTATTCCTCTGACCTGCAGGTCTTGAATAGTATCGATCTGTCCCAGCTAAGAATAATAGACTATCAGCTATATGCTAATCCTCGGAGGGAACTGTTTCGTAATCTCTCCCTCCCTCCCTCCCTGTAACCTGGTGAATCGGATTGACTGTCGCAGCCTCCTTCAAGATAATGAAATAGAAATCACAAGGGCTGTTAGTAAATCCCTGGAGAAGTCCATTAAAATTTATGCGAGGGCATGTTTTGCTATGAATTCTATATGTATATATTTACCTATTGTTCTCAATCTTGAACTGTACAGTTTGCTTGTCCCTATTTTTGTACTATGCTTGAGTATGCCAATAAAAGGTATGGTGATGTTGATGATGATGAGGAGGAGGAAGAAGAAGAAGAATAAAAGGAAGAATTCAAGCCAGAGAGGACAGGGCTCTACTAGGTTGGAGAAGGCGTCTTGTCACAAGCTGCCTGAACTCTCGTGGCCTAAACAAGGAATTTAGCTAAAAAGAGTGTGTTTGCTGGCCTAGGATCCTTTAAAATTTTAGTAATTAAAATGTCTGGGGGAGGCTGGTTTTGCTGGGGCATAAGTGGCTTGATCCATTAGCCTCCTTATACATGGATATTCAAATAAAACACACTTCACAGTTTATACCTGAAAATGGTGTACTAATATATGGCTTTCAGAGACTGTAGGTGCAAGGGCATTTAACCTTGTGAGCATAATTGGTCTCCTGTTTCTTGGAACTGTGAGGCTGTACAAGTAGTTTGGGATTGTAAGGGGTGGTGGGGTTCCCATGCAGCACACCTGGCCCAGCAGATGGTGCCATCGATGTCAGTCCTTCATAATCACCTGCCTGGTAGTCTCATGGGCTGGGAGCCACCCTAATGCCAAAGCAGCTTTCTCTGGGCATCCTGTAATATTCGATTTTTCTATCATGGCCACATTCCATGGAGTGGAGGAATTACCGTATCCTGTTTCATATAATATAATAAGCTATTGTCCTCGGATAACATTATTTTGAGTTTGATTTAGTTACTGTATCCGAGCCCTAGATTCAACCAAATGCTGGCCAAGTTCCAGTCCAAGGGCAGTACCAGCCACATATTTTGGGATCCCACAGATCTGACACAAGAATTGTATTAGCAGCCAGTCTGTAGTCTCAGCGTTGAAAGCTGTGTTCACTGCCAGAAGGTCCTGTCCACCTTTCCCGTAGCAAAAGCACTTTATTGCTGCACTGAAGCGGACTGCTGGTGCCATCACAGCCTCACATTGAGGTTTCCAAGTTAAAGGTGTGCCGAAAATTACCCCCTGATAAGACCTAACATGCTCTAGTTTGTTACCCTCTAAAATCCATTTATATCAGTCAGTCATTTATATCTTTAATCTCTTATGGCTTTTGTAAAAACCCGTATCTTTGACTTTACAGAGTTAATTGCCAGATCTTGTTCCCGACGGCTGCCTTGCTCTTGGGAGCCTGACCGGGGAGGGGGGCGACAGTGCCGCACCATCAGCATGTCATAAAATGGGTCTTTCTAGGGCCCCAAGTCTTACAGGGTGGCACAGAACGGCTGGACTATCTCAGTTGTATATTGTGCAGGTGTTGTGTTTTTAAGAGCTTTTGACTTTGTTTTGTTCTTGCTTTTGCTACAGTTTGTGTGTCTCCCTCTGTACTGTCTCGTGACTGTAATGGCCTTTGGGCTCGCTCGCTCGCTCCAGGATCTGAGCAGGCCGTGAGGGCAGGGCAAGAAGCAGCCCAGGCCACCCACACTTCCCGTGGCCTGCCCAGAGCCCCCGAGTCCCCCGTGCGAGTTCCCCGTATCTGAGGCAAAGGGGTGGCCGGTTTGCTCACCAGCCGTCCGTTACAGAGAGAGAAATGGAATTTGGCTTGAAGCTGTCTGAATGTTGTCACGATTCTAGTGGTCTGATTCTGCTGGTGTGTAGTGCTGAGTGTGATCTGATGGTTGTTTCCTGCACAGGTGTTGGCTTTTCTTCACAGCCTCTTTACCTACAACAACCTGACGGTTGAGCTGACTCAGGATTTCCTCCCGTACAAGCAGCAGCTCCAGCTCAGCTTGCAGAACGTGAGTTTCCAGGCAGCTTCCTCGGCGGCGCCTTCTGCTTCCGCTGTAGGAAGGTTTCCCGAGTGAAAGAACTTAGGCTGTATTTATAATTCCCATCACCAATGTTGTTACATTTGCTACATTTGCAATATTTATAATGCCCATCACCAATGTAATGGTCAGTGTGCCGTCTTTCCCAGGGCTGAGTGAGATTTGAGATTTCTGTGGCCGAGAATCTTGTTCTTTCTGCTGAGCAGTTGACCCTTCCCATTCTCAGCCTGACAGTCCCACCACCCGACTAGCGCCCGTCCTGCATTTTCGGGCACATTGTCCTGCCACAGTTACTTCTGGTAGCTCATCAATTTCTTCTGCTTGGCAGCTGCAGGGGTAACAGTTATATTGTACAGTTCTTGGTGCACCTTATCACCAACTCTGAAATTGAATTATCTGGGATGCTTCAGCGGAAGAGTCGCTGTTGGGAGCTCACAGGCCCTGAGTGCTGGAATTCACAGGCTGGCAAGTTCTGCAAAGACTCCAGAGGAATCCCATCCAAACATTGGCCTGTGCAGACCTTGGGCCTGATCCAGCAGCACAGTTCTTGCCTTTTTAAACAGAAGTGTGTGCCCGGGCTCGCCAGGGGAATCTTTGCTCTTGCTGCTCGCGTGCCGATACAAATTCAGGCTTTCCCCCTTTCCTCAACAGACAAGGAATCATTTCACCAGTACGCGGGAAGGGTTAGAAGACCTCAAGAAAAGGATGAAGGAAGCTCCCTTGACCTGCAAGCTGCTGGGGCAGCCAACCATAGAAGGCTATCTGTATATGCAAGAAAAATGTAAGTGGCTCGAGTCTTTCTAGGGCCTTGGGAGCCTGCCTCGCCGGTCCCCTCTACTCTGCAGCTTGAGCTCCTGTGGCTGCTGGAGATGGGGACTGTGTGGCCCACGGGCGGAAGTGTCAGAGGAGGACAGCGGAGACCTACATGCCGATCCCTGTTCGGACGGGGAGGCCTGGGGTTGTATGGGGATGCAGAAGGCAAAAACATTGACCGCTCAGGAGATCTTGCGTTACCCCTTCCCCTTCCTGCTTGTTGTAGGGGCGCTGGGTGTCTCATGGATGAAGTACTACTGCCAGTATGAGAAGGAACACAGGATGTTAAGGATGACGCCCATGGAACAGAAGCCCGGGTCGAAGCAAGTAAGTGGCTTCCTTTGCCAGAGCTCTGCCCGCCAGGGCTTGCGGCAGGCCTGCTCGGGGGGCCAAACGGAGCTGTCACTGTTGCCTGCTTCGTTACACCAGTGTGGGTAGACTGATACCTGCCTGGGGCTTCAAAACGACTGTCTCTCTTGGCTTTGAAATCTTTTCTCCTCAGGGTACCTTACAGTTTGTGCTGAAGTCCTGTGTGAGGCGGAAGACAGACTCCATCGACAAGAGATTTTGCTTTGATATTGAGACAATGGAAAGGTGAGTCGCCCCACTGGAGTCTGCGGCTGTCTGTGAGGCTGCCCTGGAGACTCTGGAAGTCTCACGGGGGGTGGGGGGGGAACATGAGCGAGGGAAGTTGCCTGATGCATCGTCTGAAGAGTTAAAAAGATAACAGAAGCAAAAGTTCCCAAAGAATTTCACCTGAAGAAACTTTTTGAAGTGAGTTTGGACGTTCCTGTTCAGACAAAGCACCTCAGGAATTGTTAGGGAAGCTAGAAGAGTCCAGACAAGACTAGTCCCCTTCCACCAGCACATTCTAACCTTCTGTGACTGCCCCCCCCCCCCCCCTGTGTTCATCTGTAAAGTGCATTTTTATCCCACCTTTCTTCCAGGGAGCTGAGTGTGGCATACCTGGTTGGCCTCCGTTTTATTGTCCCAACCGCCCAGTTGGGCTACCAGGGCAGAACTTGGTTCTCCCAGGTCCTAGTTGGACGCCAGATTTTGCCTGAAGAGAAACTAAGGTGAAATTTGGGATTCCTGCCCCACAGAAACTGATGAAGAAATTTTGAGGGGCGTGATAATGCTGGTAGAGTGACTCATGGCATGGTCGGGGTGTCCACGCATCTGTAATTGCAGATGTATCTTAAGTGGATTTTAGATTGGCCTAGCTTGAGCGTGAACCCCTGCGAGATACAGCTGTGCCCTTTTATTTCCTTTTTGCTGTCAGCTGTGACGGGGTCATGTTGCTTTCTCCTCAATCGGTTGTGGCCCTGGTCAAGCTGCCTCAGCTGGTATCAGTAGAAAATGGCTGGCCTATAACTTCTGTCCCATTTCCTGACGGCTTCCCGTCTACACGCTCAACACTTTGCGAAGAGGGTACCTGAAATCCTTCACTTGGGCCTCCCCCACTTTTATTTGTTTGGCTGATTTCATAAGTGTAAGGAAGAGGGAAAAACTGCAATTCCAGATCCAGTTTGGTCTTTTGTTGTCGAATTTCATGCAGGCCTGGGGCCATCACCTTGCAAGCTCTTTCAGAAGCCAACAGACGTCTCTGGATGGAGGCCATGGATGGCAAAGAGCCGGTAAGTGCTCTAAACATGGGTGCAAAAGGGGCCCAGCCATTTTCGGGTCTCAGTGCCGTGGGGGAGAGCATGGCCAGCTGTTCACAGGAGATGGTTTTGCCTCATCCAAAAGAAATCCTCATTGAAAACATGAATTAAAAAACAATTATGAGGCCATACATTTTCCAAATGACTGAGTGCTGTGCCAGTTCTGACAAGTAGTTCCGTTACAGTTGCTTACTGGAACTGACCCCGGTCCTACACACAATTACCAGAAAGTCAGGCTGGTTGATGTGGCTGTGACTTCTCCCCCTGCCAGACAGCCCTTCAGTTCCTGTGTGTGTGTGTGTGTTTTGCTTCTGCACCTTCCTGTTCTCAGCTGAGTTCCTTCTTTCCAATACAATCTTGGTACTGGATGGAATTTCCTGTGTGCTGCAGATTGTGCTTCAGACAATATGGAAAAGGGCTGCCTGGAGTTGTAATAAAGCTTTTTTAAAAAAACCACTTAAAGCATCTATTAAAACAATATTTGGTCTCATTATCAGCATTTCAGATGCTCTAAACTCTTGCTTGTAGAATAATAGAAATAAAATTGCATTTTATTTTTATTTTTTTTAATGGAAGGCCTGTCCAGGGTGAGAGAGACTGCCGAAGCATTGGAGGAAATGCCGCATGGGAGGTGCAGGATGGGCTGTTTGTGGGAGCTCCCCTCCCCTCCCTAGTCAGGCCTCTCCACCGGGGGGCTGCGGCAGAGACCTCGGCCATTTGCTCAGTTGTGCCGAGCGGCCGCACAACTATCCGTGTCGGGATCGGGGTCTTGCAGATAAGCCGGTTCCAGGCCACAAAGTGCTTGGCGGATGGCAACCAAGGAAGGAAGTGGTGGCCAACGGAGCAAGTGAAGAAGGGGCGTGAAACGCAGGCGCTGCCCAGGTCACGACAGCTCCGGGGGGGAGGGGCTCCTGGACTCCAGAGCAATGTTCCCTCTAAACTGTGGAGTCTTGTGAGCAAAAATTCTACTTTGTGAGCTACTGGCATTAAAGTTGTGAGTGAGCACTTTGGCTACTGCATAAGTTAGTTTGCTCTAGAGACATCCTTCCTGAGCCAGGACAAAAATGTGTGAGCTGGAAGCTAAAAAACTGTGAGCTAGCTCACACTAGCTCAACTTAGAGGTAACACTGCTCCAGAGTCTGGCTGTCCTTCCACAGAGCAACACGGCTGCCCTCTGGGACCAGCTCTGGGTAGTCAGGGCGCTGCTGAGTGGCCTCCGAGGGCAGGCCCAGGGAGAAAGCGCAGCCCCTTCCAGAACCCCGACCTTCCCCACCAGCACCAGCATCTCTGGTCGGGATCCAGTTCCAGCTTCTGCGTGGTCAGGCTCTGGCGCCAGGTGGAGCAAAGGAACTTCTGTCTCTGCAAGAAGGCCTGACCTGCTGTATCTGGGGCTGCAGATGAATGTGTAACCACTACTAAGGAGCACAGCCCTTTTCTATATCCAAACTGAGATAAAGAAACACCTCCAGCTCCAGCCCACAGTCTCGCCTGAAGCCGGACAGGGAGGGGTCTCGAGCAGACGCATCACCCAGTAAGGCCTGAAGTGGTCCTGGAGCCCCTCGCTCAGTCGCTTGGCCCAGAAAGGGCAGATCAGAAAACAGACAGGAACTGCCCGTGCCATTGTCCTCCGGACTCCTTTGGGAACTGGGCAAAGGTGCTCTGAGTCAGGGGGATTCACTTACAGTGGGCACTGGGGCTTGGTTAGTCTGCTTTAAAGATGTGAAGGCCCAGAAAAAAACTGGAAAAATTCCGAAAAAAAATGTTTCCCCCCCGTTTTCCTGAAGACTTTTTTGCTTTTTTCCAAAAAAGTGGAAAAATTGAAAAAAGAAAAGAAAAATGATTATGGAACATTTTATTTTAGCATGATGAATAAAATATTTTAAGACAAGGTGTTCAAAAATTTTCCAAATCATTTCTAAAAATATGTATGGTATTAGATTGATCTAATTTCTGTGCACTGAGGACAAGCAAGTCCTAGGTTACAAACTGAACTCTCCAATGCAAAAACAAGATGCATTTCTTCCTTTAGGAGGTGCTATTGTCACAAGAAAAGAAAAAGGTTTCAGTTTTGTTTTTGCATGTGGGTGGGTATTCTGTTTGTAATAATTGTTTGGATACACTATATTTTTAATAGGCTAGTAAAGATGCCCATAGTCGTATTTTATGTTCCTAAAGTAACAGAATGACTTTCCATCTAGAAAAGAAAAAATAAGTGCTAATGTAGCATTTTTTTCAATTTTTCTGAAAATTTCCGATCTTCGTCGTGATCTCTGTGCAGTCCTACATATGGGTTGGGCGCCTGCGCGTGACCTCGACCGGAGAAACTTCTAGAGCTTTGCTACAGAAAGCTTTTGGCAGGCTCTCTTCCTGCCCTGGGGAGCAGGCACGTACTGCGCATGCCTGGAGCGGGGGAGAGAGCCGCCTCCCACTCAGTTTTTCTTCGACCGCCTGTGTGTTCACACTTCGTTTCTGTTGCTCCGTACTTGCCTCAGCTAAGTATATTTCTTTCCCTTCATTTTTCCATCTTTATTTCTACTTCATTCTCTCTCCTTACTATTTAAAAAGAAAGAAAAAAAAGGAATACTTTTCTCTTTATTCACTTTTGTTCCCCCCCCCTCCCTTTTCTTTTTGGTGGGTGGGGAGGAGAAGGGGAATCCCATAGAGTTGATAGCTGCATCTATTGCGCTAGTTTTACTAGACAAGCTCGACGTAATAGGGAGACTCGCCTTAGGGCTGTGCTCTTAGAGGCAGCTTTGCGCCCTGCCATGGCTTCGACTGTCTCTCAAAAATCAGACTGCTCTTCGAAGGCACCAAAGTTGAAATCTAAATGGCCTGAGGGTAAGGCTTCCTCGAAATCGAAAGTCAAGCCCTCAACATCGGCTTCGACTTTGGCTGTCAACCCAGTCGTCATTACTGCCTTAACAACATCGACCCCTGCTGTGGCTGTTGTACCTAACAAGTCCACTTTGTGGCCTCCGACACCGCTGCCTACGCTCTCTTCAGCCTCTGGGCTTATTCCGCTGGGTCAATCTACGAGATCGCCTCCTGACTTGTCGTGTCACCGGGACTCTCGATCTCAATTGCCACACTCCCGTACCCCGATCCACCATTTGGAGGGCAGGCAGCATTCTGTTGGCTGCCGTTCTCGTTCTCGGTCTCGATATGATCGAAAGTGTCTCATTCGTTGCCAGTCACCTTCTCCCTCGGGATCGCCTTCTGATTACCAATATTGGTCTCCTGGTGAACGAGATCAGCCTGATTACTATCCGTATTATTATCCATGGTCTCCTACTCCTCGCCTACACCACTATGATCGGCTTTGTCACTTCAAACGTTCTGTGATCATCCACGCATTTCGGATCGCACTAGATGTTCTCGGTCCGTGACTTCGACCCGCTCTGTGGCTCCTGACCAGTCTCCTGAGCTCTCGAGACCTAGGGATGCCCCAAAGTGTTCTCCCTCAGAACCTGGGCTTCATCCCCCTATTGATGACTTGATACCAGCTGATCTCACTCAGCCGCGGAGATCCTCCTCTCCCATGTCGATTTCCAACAACTTGGATTCGGGAGACCTCGAACTCGATGTTCTGCACATCGACGATGAGCTTCGGCCCTCAGGGTCTATTTTATCTACTGAAGGCTCGAAAGCATATCTGGAACCAGGATGGCCTCTGTGCTTCAGGTCCACGGTTCCACTGAATCCCCGGCAGTGACCGATGTCATTCACAAGATTGTTCAAGCCGACCTCCCACCTTCTACGATCCTGCCTCTGCTGCCGGTCCACCTTTCTGCCCTCAAGGAGACATGGGTTCATCCTGCTTCAATTCCCCCAGTCGCCAGACGATATGAAGCTCTCTATAAGGTCCAAGAGAACTCGGGGAAGTTTCTCTTCAGGCAGCCTGCGCCGAATTCCATGGTGGTACAATCTTCCTCGAAATTGAAGCAATCTGACCACCACTCTGCGCCTCCCGATCACGAGGGCCGCAAAATCGATTTTATCGCGAAGAAGCTGTATTCCTTCGCCTCTATGAATCTTCGTATTGACACCCACCTGTCATATCTGTTGGCTTATGCATTTAATGTGGCTAATGCAGTCCGTCCCGTCTTACAGATTGTTCCGGAGGAACACCGTCCAACGTTGTCAGGAGCTTTATCAGAAATTTGCACGATCTCGAAACAGCAAATTAATTCAGTCCATCATGCTGTCACTTGCTCCTCAAAGGTTCTTGTCTCCTCCGTCGCTCTCCGTCGCCATGCTTGGCTAAGAGGTACCTCTTTACAGCCCGATGTGAAATTTCGGATTGAGGACCTCCCCTTCGATGGTGAAGGTCTCTTCCACTCTACCACTGATGAGGCCTTAAAGGCTGTCGGTGATAGTTGAAAGCAGGCTCGGAACCTAGGTGTTGTGGCCTCGACGCTGGTACCGTTCCTGGAAACTATATTATGCCAGGCGCTAGCCGTCTCCTGCGCCCACCTCCCATTGGAGAAAGAGGCCCTATGACTCCCGTTACCTGAATAGGGCGCGCCAACAGGCCCCTAAAAAATCCCAGCAGCCCTTCGCCCTTAGCTGAAAATATTGAAGACTTTCTGAACTCAATCCCCTCTCTCAAATCTTTATCTCCTTCACAAAGCGAGACTCTGGACAGCCCAATCACGAGAAAAGAACTGATAACAGCCATACAGCAGGCAAAAAATAATAAAGCTCCGGGGATTGATGGGCTACCTGCAGAACTTCACAAAGCCCTTCAATCAACATTGGCAGACCCTTTACTGGTTATTTGTAATGCAGCTCTTCAAGGACGGCGGTTACCTCCCTCTTGGTCTGAATCGTCTATTACTGTAATCCCCAAGAAAGGGAAAGATCTAATGGATCCCGCCTCTTTCCGACCAATTGCCCTTATCAACAATGATGCAAAGTTATTCTCTACGGTGTTAGCTAATCGCCTCAAGTTAGTCATCACGGATCTCATACATACAGACCAAACAGGTTTCATCCCGGGGAGACAAATAACGGATAACATCAGACACTCCCTTAATGTGATCATGGAAGGTAAATTGTCCAAGGTTGAATCGATAGTTTTGGAGCTTGACTTCGAAAAGGCGTTCGATTCTATTGAATTAGATTACCTCATGTTACATCTCAAACGTATTGGTTTCGGAAATCACTTCCTTCAGGCGCTGAGCAAAATATACAAGCACCCAAAATCCAGAGTTAGAGTCAACGGAAATAATTCAACCTTTTTCGCCCCAACCAGAGGCACACGGCAAGGATGTCCGCTTTCACCTCTCATCTTTGCCCTAGCTATTGACTCAGGTACACCTGAGAGCCGCCTTTATTTGCTTCCATCACATCATACAGAGAACCCATCACCCAACTCTTAAAGTGACCCCACCAGCAATTGTTTGCTTTAGCTAAGGTGGGCCTCCCACCCTTCTCTCCATCTACCACCCCCTTGTCGTTGAGCCCAGTGACTGCCCCTCCCTCGTCTGCCACCTTTTGTAGCTCCATCTCCCCTAGGGGGTCTGCCTGTGAGTATGCCGGGTCCTCCTGGAAACGGACGAGGTCCCGCCCCAGCCTCTTTTCGGGGATAACGGGGATAGGATCCTGACAAGTCGGGAGGGGGTTGGGAGCGCCCTCCTGACAGATGCGTCCCCTCCAACTTTGGCTTCTCTGTGCCTTCGACCCTCTCTGCAGTCCGTGGCACAAAATCCTGTTGTTCCCACCCCTTGTCGTCAACTCTCTCACCTGGTGGTCTCATCCTCAGCACCTGCTCTGTGGCATGCCCTTTCGACATCCTCCTCTGCAAGTGTCGATCTCCACCGATGCATCCCTCTGGGGCTGGGGAGCCCAGTGTGGAATCCTTTCAGCACAGGGGACCTGGTCTCCTCGTGAAGCCGCCCTTCATATCAATATCCTGGAGCCATGTGCCGTTCATCTCGCTCTCCGCTTGTTTCTCCCTGTCCTTCGAGACAGAGTCGTTCAGGTTGGCTCCGACAACACCACCACTGTTTACTACATAAAAAAGCAAGGCGGGACTGCCTCCCTTCATCTTTGCCAGTCAGCTATCGATCTCTGGCAATGGTGCATCCGCCATTCTATCACCCTTTCCGTGATCCACATTCCAGGTGCTCAAAACATCGATGCCGATCGGTTGAGTCGCTCCCAGTTTTCGGACAACGAATGGTCCATTCACCTTCAATACCTGAAACCTGTCTTTCTTGAGTTCAGTCACCCTGTCGTAGACGGCTTTGCAACTGCAGACAATGCTCGGTGTTGTCTCTTTTTCACCCGCGGTCCACCATCCACTCAGTCCCTGGGAGATGCCTTTCTCCACACCTGGAGGGGAACCCTGTTTTACTTCTTCCCTCTGTTCCCCTTGGTCTCCTGGGTCGTTCAGAAGATTATGGCCGATGCCATGTCCTGCATCCTAGTCACCCCATGGTGGCCACGCCAAATCTGGTTTCCTCACCGCCTTCAGCTCTCCAACCAGACATTCGGGACTTCCCCTGTCATCCCAGATTTCCTCTCTCAGGCTCGAGGAAGGATCCTCCACCCCAATCCAGGTTTCTTCTGATTGACGGCCTGGAAGATCCTGCACTAGACTTCCCGCCTGAAGTGTCCGAAGTCCTTCTGAATGCCAGGAAGCCATCTACTCGTGCCACTTATGCTCTGAAGTGGAAGAGGCTCCAGTTGCATGCCAGTCCTTTGATCCTCTCTAGTCGTCTCTCCGTCAGATTTTTTTCCTATCTCGTCTCGTTAAAGAATACTGGCCTTTCATACTAGTCTTTAAAGGTTCATTTAGCGGCCATCTCGGCCTACCATCCCTTGATACAGGGATCCACGTTTTTTCCCCACCATCTTACAAGGTCGTTCCTCAAAGGTCTCCTCCACCTCTGTCCCCCTAGGAAGCCTTTGGTGCCTTCGTGGAGTCTCTCTCTCGTTCTCACTCAACTGATGTCTAAGCCATTCGAGACCATGGCCATGGCCGAGTTCAGGTTGCTCTCCTGGAAAACTGCCTTCCTTGTAGCGATTACTACTGCGCACAGAGTAGGGGAACTAGCTGCCTTTCGGGCTGATCCCCCCTATACAATTTTCCATAAGGAAAAGGTTGTCCTTAGACCAAATCCTTCTTTCCTGCCTAAAGTCGTCTCTGCCTTTCATCTGTCCCAGTCGTCTGTCTTACCTTCATTCTTTCCAAATCCGAGCCCTCCACTGCCTCGATGTGCACAGAGCGCTCTCCTATTTACATAAGACTCAGCCTATACGTAAATCTCCTTGGCTGTTCCTCGCTTATGGGCCCCCTCATGTCGGGGACCCTATCTCCTCTCAACGCTAGCCCATTCTACACGGGCGGTATCGACATCCACCACTTTCCTGGCTGGTGTCCCGCTGGAGGACGTCTGTGCGGCTGCTACGTGGTCCTCGGCATCGACCTTCGTGACCCAGTACACACTCGACGTCCGAGCTCGACGGGATGCTGCATTCAGCCAGTCGGTGCTGCGATCTCTCTTCGCTTGGCCCTGCTACGTCTTCCTGCTGGTGATGCTGTATCTTAACCAGTATTCTTTCTGTCTCTTGCAGCTGCCAGCTCCCTCCTCCAACTGGTTCAGCTCTGGTAATCACACATGTGTGGGACTGCACAGAGACCTCGACGAAGATGAACAGGTTGCTTGCCTGTAACTGATGATCTTCGAGTGGTCATCTGTGCAGTACCAGAATCCCACCCAGCCTTCCCCACTGCTGGCATCTCCTGTTCACCTTTCTTTGGTTTGATGGGACTTACCGGTAGCGGTCGAAGGAACTGAGTGGGAGGCGGCTCTCTCCCCCGCTCCCGGCAGCGCAGTACATGCCCGCTCCCCAGCGCGGGAAGAGAGCCCGCCCAAAGCTTTCTGAGGCAAAGCTCTAGAAGTTTCTCCGGTCGAGGTCGTGCACAGGCGCCCAACCCATGTGTGGTACTGCACAGATGACCACTCGAAGACCATCAGTTACAGGTAAGCAACCTGTTTTTTCCCCTCGAAAAAACCCAGTTTTTTCCCCGAGCTTCAGAATTTCCGGAAATTTTACATCTCTCGTTTGCTTCTTGTGAGAAATCAGTAACCAGGGCGGAGAAAGGTCCTGAGCACGAGAGCCGGCCTTCACAGACCCCAAGGCCCTGTCGACATCTCGTACGGTCACCAGGTCAAAACGATCCGTCGCAAGCACTTGGCGCTGCCTTATGCCGACTCAGACCCCCTGCTCCGTCCATGCCCATATTCTCTACTCAGACTGGGGCAGGGTCTCTCCCGGGTCTCAGGCTGAAGTTTTCTACATCACCTCCTCCCAGGTCCTTTAACGGGAGATGCTGCCGGGGATTGAACCCGGGACCTTCTGCATGCCAAGCAGATCCTCTGCCACTGGGCCAGAGGCCCCTCCCCAGACATCAACAAACGACTTGGTGCACTAGACATTTTTTCCTGCCTGAATTTTGTTAAACTGGCATGCAGATGAGCGTGTGTTTGAGAGGTTCCATTAAAAAAGTGAGTGAAGCAGCAGCTGGACCATAGCATGGGCTTCAGACGCTAATCCCCAAGCCAGCCTAGGCCTGGTACAAAGCCATTAAGCCCTGGGGGTATCCTTTCTTCATGAGCTGAGCCTGTCACAACCTGGGTAAGACCCACGGTGGCCCAGGAGGGCGCAGATCCAGAGCTGGCCCGGCCAGGGCGCCCTCAGCGTGACTGTGGTAAGTGCCCCGGGACAGTCTGTCTGCAGGTCTTCAGCACCAGGCCCGAGACCTCCGTTGCCAACTTGGGTGTGGCACCACTGGAGAACTCGGTGGCCCGCAAACCAGCCTTCTCCCTCCCTGGGCCCCCAGACAATGAACAGCAAGGCTGGCAATAGCGTGCCCTGGGCCTCTGCAAAAGGAGAGGGATTCGCAGAGAGTGACAGTCGCCTCCACCCCGGGCCTCAGGTTCGGGGCTGGTGAAGGACTACACAGCTGGGTGGACTCTTGGAGGCCCGGAGATGTCTCTCCTGGGGACACACAGAAGGCACCCACGTGGCTTTTCTCCATCAGTCGTTCCGGGGGGGGTGCGGTCCTGCAGTCGGAGAGCTCGGTTCATACCCAGGAGGGCGTTCGGACGCCCGAAAGCTCATCCCCCCCCCAAAAAACAACAACAACAACTTGTCAGCCTTGAAGGTGCTGCGGGACTTGAATCCAGTTGTTCTCCGTTAGTTGGGCTCTAAGTTAGAAACCTTCAAGGGCTCCATTGTCAGCAACATGGAATGATGGGCATTCAGTAGATGTTTTACATTTGAAAGGCTGTATAGATTACACTGTCAGTATTGATGAAACTGATCAATGTAACTTTGTAGTCTCATTTGTGAGGACACTGCAAATCTTCTTGAGTACATTGATTGATTTGCTTGATTTGTTTTCTGCACACAAAATGAAGAAGGGAATTTCCTTGCATGGTGAGAGTTTAAAATGTGACTTTCTTATTGCTCTTTGTTTTTATTTACCATTTGTTTTGGCTTTGTTTTCCCTTTGTTCCTTCAGATCTACCACAGTCCTATCACGAAGCAGGAGGAAAGTAAGTTGCTTGTCTGTCTATTCAAAAATGTCCCACCTAAGTAAATCTGATTGCCACAGGTTATTTCTAAGAAGTGGCCTTTGCTGCTCTCTGCTGGATTTATTATGAATTGCAGCTGCCTGCCTAGACCCCTCGTGTGCATTTTTTTAAAATTTGAGGCAGGAGCAAGTAACTGGTCAGGCAGGACTGCCAGGAATCCTCGTGAGCCCCCAGACAAAGGCTCCATCCCGTCCCTCTACTCAGACTCCCAAGACCCAACCCAGTCCTCCTCAGAATGCAGGTCACATGCTTGCCTCGCTTTGTGGCCCCCCGGAATCGTGTCCTGCCGAAGCATTTCCAGAAGCCCCCGCTGTCCTTGAGTGAGTCCTCCACCTTCATTGGTTGGGCCGGCCGACCGACCCCCTTTCGTGGGAGGCTGCTGTTGTCCCGCTTCTTACCCCTTTCAGCTCCTGGAGACCCCTGCAGCTTTTGGCCTGGCACGAGAAAGGAGGGTATGACTTTGTGCCGCCCTAGCTCTGCGTCCGTGTGTGCTGTTAGCATGGGCCACAGAACTGCTCATAATGTGTGTGGAGATTGCCGGCCTGGCTGGCTTTGGCTCCCGGTGGAGGCAGGCAGGGGGTGTTGGCAAGCATCCGGTCAGAGGATCTCTTGCGAATGGGGCACACGGCCTGCTCGGGGGTCGGAGAGAGAGAGCCTTGGCAGGGTTTCCGAGCGCCAGGGGGTCCCCAGCCTTTTGGAGCCTGCCGGCGTTCTGGGATTCTGGCAGAGCATGGTGGGCGCAGCCACAGATAGGCTGCCACAGTTGACCATCAGCCACACAGTGAAGGGCCATGCGCAGTGGTGGCTACTGCTGCCAACGCGACATTTTTTAAAAATCTGCCCAGCCCATCCAATCTCCAGTGGCCAGTTGGGAGCCTTGCTGGCCAGAAGCCTCCCCTGGCCCCACCTGCTTTCCGGGCGCCCTGGGCGGGAGCCAGGAGAAAGGTTGGCACTGGTGCCATGGTGCCCACAAGCACCGTGTTGGGGACCCCCTGCCTCCACTCCCCTGCGGTGCTGAGTGACGACTTTCCGGGTGAGCCCCCAAGAGTCTGGATACGTCTCCTCTTAGCCGTGCTCCCTCTCAGCTGCGGCGGAGTCCCGTGAGCAGAAATCCTGCTCTGTGAACTGCCGGCATTCAAGTGGTGAGCTAGCAATTTGGCTGCTGCACAAATCAGCTTGCGCTGGAGCCCTCCTTCCTGAGCTACGACAAAAATGCGTGAGCTGGAGGCTAGAAAACAGTGAGCTGGCTCACTAACTCAGCTTAGAGGGAACACTGAGATATATCTCCTATTATATAAAAGCATTTTGGAGTGGCTCCTGGCCTATGGGGTGGCGAGAGAAAATGCGCCTCCTTAGCCACTGGCCTGCTGGGTGCCGCTCAAGGCTCCTGGTGTGCCATTGGCTGGGGGAGCCTGGGACGGGCGGCGATCGGACAGTGGGGAGATGGGCGAGGCCGGCTGCCTTGCAAAGATGGCCCTTCGCTCTGCCACCTTTCGCCTGCTGCGGCCTCGGCCAGGGAGGCTGTGGGCCCTTCCATGGGAGGGGGGCATTCCTTCCGCCAACCCTGCCCAGCCGTCGGGCCACTTGGAGGCCTCCAGGGGGACTGGTTGCCGTTGGCCCTCTCTGCCATCCTCACGTGGCCCCACCCTCGCTTCTGACGCCGCATGGGCGCCTTCTGGAAGGCCGGGAAGCATGCGGCCTCTACACTGGCGCTGCACTGACCACCGCCAGCCCGTCCTCGCCTGGCCCCCGCCCCCGTTCTCACTTCTTTTCTTTTTAAAAAAATTATTTAAGTTTTTATTTATTTTGTATTAATCAAAGTAACATATATATCAAATACAATATAAGTAACATCAATCTGTTGCAAAGTTAAGGAACGACAAAAGTCTGAAAAAAATTACAACAATTTTGAACACAGTTAGAGTGAATATAGAACTCATTGGAGTCTCAGAGGACCCACATATGTCAAATTTTATACATTCTTATAGGTAATTTCAAATCAACAATATCATTATCCCGTGTGGGGGAATAGAGGGAAAAACAGTCTGCTATTAGATTCCTGTCCTCACTTCTGAGGCCGCATGGGCGCCTCCCAGAGGGCAAGGCCTCTCCGCCTGTGGCGTGCTGACCACCGCTTTGCCCTCTTCTCCCGACCCCCACCCCCCGCCACCTTTACCCGCTCGCCCACTGTGGCGGGCCGGTGGGGAGGGGCTTCCTGTGCTCCCGCAGCACTTTTCCCTGCTCGGCCACAGTGGGGGGGTGGGGGGCATTGCTCAGGTCCCAGCGGCACCTTCCCCCGCTCCGCCACAGCAACCGTGGTCGGGAAGTGATGCACCCACTCCAGCCCACGCGCCACCCCAGTCTCTTCTCACTGCCTCTTGCTCTTCTTTCTCAGCCTCTTTCCGTTCTCTCCCTCCCTCCCCCTTTCTCTCCTTTCCTTCCTTCCTCCCTGTCTCTTTGCATTCTCTCCCCCCTCCCTTCTTCCCCATCTCCCTGCCTTCTTGCCCTCCCCCTCCTTCCCCCTTTTTCTTCCTTCCTTCCTTCCTCCCGCCCTCCCTATCTCTTTCCATTCTTTGCCTACCTACCTACCTCTTTCTGTTTTCCTTTCTTTCTCTCTCTCTCCTCCCTCCCTCCCTCCCTCCCTTCCTTCCTTGCTTGCTTCTAGTGCCCGTTGTCTCCCCTCCACAACGAACCTTCCTCCTAATTAGTTAATAAAATGATTTAAAACTCTTTTCTCTCCCACACTGAGATGAAATGCTTGGGGGGCCGGGAGATGAGCACCGCAACCCTAGAGTCGGATTCGACTGGCTTTCGAGCAAGGGAACCTTTACCTTTACTTACTGTTTACTCTCACCCATTATTTCATATACTGATATTTCATTCCGATACTCTATGAACAGAGACCATCTTTGAACAAATAATGACGGGGTGGGGGTGGGGCATTGTGCTGGAAGTTCCCGGCAAGCAGCGTCAGCTTCTTTGAGAAAAGTGTGGTGCAAAGATTCTGATGAGGTCTTTGCAGCCGTTTGGGGGGATTTCTAGGCAACCCACAACCAACCTTGTTGAGGATTTCAAATCTCAGTTACTGTCAGCGTGGGGGAGGGGAGAGAGTGAGTCTAAGAAAGGTAAAAGATGGGGGGGGGGGTAAAGCTTGGGGGGGGGGAGATCGGAAAAGGTAAAAAGGGAATGCTGAAGAGGGGGGCAGAGGCTGCAAGGAGGAGAACCAGTAAATGACAGGTGGGCAGGCAGGCAGGAGAGAGAGAAAGGAAGGTTGCGGGCACGGCTGGGGGATGCAAAGAGGGAATGGGAGGAGGAGTGGGGAAATTGGGTCTTTCCTGAGAGTTCTTGTCGGTCCCCAACATGTATAATGATAGTATACTAAATGTAGAAAGTGTGGACTGTGGTGTTTCCTATGTTATATTGTTTAGCCACATATCCAGATATGCTGTGTGCCATACTGTGACTGTGTATGTAGCTGTTTCTGGGCCAGCATGTCTGTCTTCATTTTTGCAGCTTTTAGGATGGCAAAGACTAAGACCTGTGTACTCAGGTGCAACAGTTGGCGACTCTTGTTTGTAGAAAACGAAGGCATTGATATTTCTAAATTTAATAAACATGCCACATAGTATGGTTTTATGTCTTGAGTTATAAATGATGCATTTTGTTTTGAAGCTGTTTGGGCTTGATAAGAAAGGACAGACTGGCCTTGCTCCTCCCATTCTGCCCTGCAGAGTTTGAATTCTTCTTCCCGCCTGAGGTGTTTCCCTCCCATTTAAGTGGCTCTTCTGCTGAATCATAAGTTACAGGAAGACTCCATAGGCTGGAGGGAGGTTCAGTTTTGGGCACCACACTTTAAGAAAGATGTTGATAAGCTGGGCCGTCTGAAGGCCAAGTCCTTTGAGGAAAGGCTGAAGGAGCCGGGTATGGTTAGCCTGGAGAGGAGACGACGGGAGAGGTGATGTGACGGCCATCTTCAAGTATCCAGAGGCTGGAGCAGAGTTGTTATCTGTTGCCCCAGAAGGTCAGACCAGAACCAACGGGTGGAAATTAAGTCAGAAGAGTTTTTGGCTAAACATTAGGAAGAACTTCCTGACAGTTAGAGCTGTGGTCAGGGCTGCCAAGCTGTTACTGAGGGATGGGAGATGGTTAAGACCATGTGCAGCCGTGGCATACTGAGACCTTTGCAGCACTCAGAGCCTGAGGCCTGGGATCCCACCCGCTCGCTTTCCTGCATGGGGTATCTTGCTGTTGCATTCCCAGCTGTAGGAGCAGACATTCTTGTTGGGGCGGAGGACCTGCCAAAGATCTGAGGAGGGTTAGTGGTGTGCTCTTCCTGTGCTGAAGTGTTTGCTTCCTGCCATGCAAAGCCAGAAAGGCCAGTGAGCCGAACGCAGGAGGCCGTGCCGTGTCACCTGGAACCTGGAGTTGTGCCGTTGTTGCCGCTGTTCTGGTGCTGCAGCCGTGCCCTGCCTCTGGCCCCTCCTCTCTAGCAACAGGTTGCCTCCACCATTGCCTCAGCTGCAGGAGTCTGGCCTAACGCCTTTATCTGCCTGCCTGTGGAAGGAATTGTCGTTCCTGTTTTTGTTTAAGGAGCATGCGGTTTTCCCAGGAAGCTAACCTGCCCTTCCTGCCACCAATAGCCAAATGGTAACTGTTACTGTCTTGTTTTTTCTTTCTTGCCCCCAAATAGTGGAGCTGAATGAAGTTGGCTTCAGATTTGTCCGGAAATGCATCAACGCTGTCGAGACCAAAGGTACGTTTTGAAGTTGCTTCTGTTGCTTCTCTCTGCCAGACTAATTTGTTGCCCCGTCGCTTCCCCAGGCAAGAAGGACAGGATCAGAGTCTCCCTGAGCAGCCTGGAACAACCCTACAAGAGGACAGCTACGGAGCACAACTCACAGATGTGCTCAAAGTAGCAGAAGTGCAACAGAGACGGACTTTTATATCCATCATAAAATTTTCTTTTGGGAGCTTGCAACAACAGCGGATGTTTTAAGAACGTTTGGAAATGTTTGGTGAACAACAAGACCGCATATTGGCAGGGAGAAAAATTAAAGTACCGAATTAAAAATGGAGAAGCTCCCTCATCTCACATTCAAGGCAGCCGACAATCCAGAGTCAGGCAACGAGGACGACCGAGCTGGTGGGGAAGGGGGGCTGGGCGGGTGTTGAGCCCCTGGGGTCTCCTCACAGAAGGGCCGCTGACATCAGTGGGAGCGAAAGGTTCAGCTGAGTCCTGCCCGTAACACTGGAGATCCCCAACAAGCACGTTTTGCCATCAGAATTTTGGATGACTGGCCAACGACTGCCGCAAAAAAAAGAATGCCAGTAGAATTCCTCAGCTCATGGATGGGAAATGTGAAAGAACTGGCTTTGCACGGCTGCTTCTTTCAAGGTTCCTGATGAGTTTTAGTTTTCCAGGCTGGAATATTTCTGGGGGGAAATCAGCTGCAAGCCAGCACCCGTAGCTCATCATGGGAGTGTTTGAGAGGAGAACCGTTTCTTCACGTCAGGCGGGGCCGTGTTCTTTTGCTTGTGGAGCACAGGTGCCGTTCAGTCCATTCAGCCTGTAGAAGGGAGTTAGGCGCTCTCTGCAGGGAAAGGCAGACAGCAGATGTGCGACCGAGACTGGCTGTGCTGGTTGTCTGAATGCCTTTGTCTGGAAGGCGCCTCGAGGACTGGCCCCTGCCCTTTGCATCTTTAGGGTGGTGATTCTACAGAGCAGAGTTTGGACCCCTCTGCTCTTTGTGCTCTGCTGTGGGAAGGAACCCTCTAACAGAGAGAGGCAGGCTGTGCAGTGAGCCTGAGCTTATGCTGCCATGCAAGAGGCCAGACGCGGCCGGGTGAGGTTCGCCGATGGGCTGTGCGGTCGGGTCCACTCATAGCCACGTGGGGAGGGGGCTTTGCATCGTTTCTTACCCCCAGCTCTGGTCTCTGAAGCAGTTACGGAATTCTCTGGAAGAGAGCTCAGATGGAAAGACTTCGATCAGATCTGACATGTTTTGGTAACTTTGGATTGTACATTTTTAATATTTACTTCCAAGCGTGTTTGGAGTGTTTTTGTTTTGGTGGTATCAGGCATCACTGACAATCAAAGTTATGGAAGGATGTGCAGGAACAAGGCTTATTGATAAGATCACGTTCCTCACTCATCTTCCTCCCTTGTCATGGCAAGAATCTAACCATGGGCCAATTCTGGTTATCCGTGGCATAGGATACACACACACACACACACACACTAACCAGGAAGCCACCCCCACACTCGCACATACTTGCTGGGACTCCAAACAAGGGAGGCTTTGACATTCCAGGGAGTGGGAAGAAGCTGCTGCTTATTAGCCGGTGGGGTTCCAGTCCAGGAGCACCTTGGCGACAAAGGGGATTTCTGGGGTGTGGGGGGGGGGCTTCCGAGAGTCAGAGCCCCCTTGGTCAGAGGCCAGCCTGTGTGCTTGAATTCTTACTGGGAATGGGAAGGAGTGTTGGGCTGTGATTTTTGGCATGAGATGGGAGGTGCGGAAGCCCCACAGCCAACTGGGTTTGTGAGCTTTTCCCCCTTAACTGGTGCTGTTTGTGATGTCTGAAGGCAGCCTTGTCTTCTGACACATTTTGTGAGGGGAGTTATCAGTAGAACAGAGTTTGAGACCAGGGGGCACCTCTAAGACCAACCGAGTTCAATTCTGGATATAAGCTTTCATGTGCATGCACCTTTTCACGTGCCCGCACGCACACATGAAAGCTTATACCCAGAATTGAACTTGGTTGGTCTTAAAGGTGCCCCCTGGTCTCAAACTCTGTTCTGTGGCTTCAGTCCAGCACAGCAACCCACCTGAATCTGTCTTCATGGGAGTTATCAGTGTTTGTTGTTTTAAAAAAATGATGGCGCCAGGTGGTGCTGTTGAGCTTTCGGGATGCAATATATCATCTGTTAAGTAAATATTTCATCTCCTTGTCTTCTTACTGCTCAGGGGTTACAACCGAAGGTGTGTATCGAACGGTGGGCAGCAACATCCAGGTCCAAAAGCTCTTGAATGCCTTCTTCGGTAAGGAGCAGAAATTCACAGTGTTTTATGTCAGTGTGCGAGCTGTCATGTAAAGCAGAAGACTTCTACTCCATTGTGTCCATATTAGCTCCAGAAGTCTTCCTTGCTGCCTAGCCCCTCCATCTTTGAACCTTTCACCGTTTCTGTCTTTCTAAGGGCCAAACTAGAGATGTGATGGCATCCGCATGTCTGCCCAGTGGCCACCACCACCATTTTTAAGGGATTTCAAAACACCACAAGGGACCCTGGCTTAGTGGGGGAGCATCTGCTTGGCCTGCAAAGGGTTCCTGGTTCAATCCCTGGCGGCATCTCCAGTTATAAAGGGCCAGCCACTAGACGATGGGAAAGGTCCTCTGCCTGAGACCCCGGGGAGCTGCTGTCCATCTGAGCAGAACACCCTGACCTTGATGGACCAATATAGTGCGATTCAATCTAAGGCAGCTCCACGTGGACATGAGTTCCTGAGAGTGCCTCACGTATAGTTTGACCCAAGCTGGCCTCTCCTCTTGAATGTGATGTGCTTATTGCAAAGAACGTGGTGCTAGAGCGGGGGGGGGACTTGCTTAACGTAAGAGCAACACAGAAGAAACATCAGATGTCTGAGAGCCACAAGACATGAACAAATATCACACACATGTTTTTATAGGAAAATATGTAAATTTGCTTTTTATCAACATTAAATAACACTGGCAGAAATAAAAACAAAAGGGGTAAAAAAAGATATTGAAAATGATATTTAAAGAGACAAATGCTTTCTCCAAGCTGGCTGGAAAGGGGGGTTTTGAGAACGCATTTAAAGTTAAAGTTGCTTTCTTTCTCTGCTCCCCCCCCCACACACACACACACCCCTGAAGCCTACCCAGGGAGGGGAACCCTGGCTGGGGAAGGGAAGACCGATCAGGGAGGCCGGCCTCCCCTCCACTTCCCCTGCCACCCTGCTGGGAGCTGCACAAATATGTGTGAAAGAGCTGCATGTGGCTCCCGAGTCACAGTTTGGCCACCCCTGTGCTAGAGTTTCAGCAAGGCAGATCTGAGACAGATTGTGGAAGAATCAGACCGAATGTAGTAGAGTGCATTTGCATCTGCACACAATATTCTTGACTGACACATGGTATTAGAAGAGGGTTGTTACTGAATACCTGCCAGCTATGCTGCCATGATGGGGGGGCGGGGGATTCATGCTGCTTCTTTACTTTTGCTTCTGTACTGCTTGCGTATCAATGACCTTGCAGGTTGCTGGTGTAGTGTCTGGGATGCCTGGAACCGTGGGAGCGCTTTTGGTTCCCAGCTGCGGCCTCTAACGGCCTGGGGACCCTTCTCCCGCACGTGGGAGCCTAGCTAATTGGCTTATGGAAAGGGGGGGTGCATACGAATACCCTATATCACATTATGCTTGTAGGACCATGACTATGTTAATGCCTCTATAGCTCTGCAATAAAGTATAACCTTTCTGATAAGCGTGTACTCCGTTGTTGGCTGTGGAACCTGACAATACCCCTCTCCCAGTTGATCTGAAAATCAAGTGACTCTGGTGGAATGGAGCATACAAGCTTTATTTAGGCTCCCACAGGTTTTTCTTTTTCTTAAACCTATTTTCTTTTTCTTTAACCTACTATCTGCCGTAAATTGGGACACGCAGTGTATTTTGACATCTGCAAAGCATGTCTTCCAACAAGGAACTTTAGGTGGTGCTGTTTTGGGAAGAGTAGTATGAAATTTAATTTAATTTAATTTGATACATGCAGATAATTTATCTTTCCAGTCTTTTCAAGGGGAAAAATACTAAGTGGGATTTATTTACTTAATTTCTACCCTGCCTTTCCCCCCAGCGGGGGCCCAAAGCGACTGACACCATTCTCCTCTCCTCGATTTTACCCTCACAACAGCCCAGTGAGGTGGGTGAGGCTGAGAGTGTGTGACTGGCCCAAGGTCACCCAGCAAGCTTCCATGGCAGCGTGGAGATTTGGACCAGGTGGCTGATTTCAGTCTCTCTAATTTGCTTACTCATCATTTGGGTAACACAATGAACGTTTGTCAGTTCTGGAGAGGTGCATGGCTTCAAACTGTGAAAAACATGAGACTAGAATTCACAGTGATCTTGATAAATAAATAACAGTGTTAAAATAAGATCTAAGTTAAGAAGTAAAAGGAAAAATGTTATACAACACACACACCCCCGGTAAAATTATGTGGAACAGGAACAGCCGGTTGGACAACAGCTTGGTGGGAAAGAATTCTGGTTTCATCATTTCTACCCGAGACCACAGTGGAGAACCTCGAGAGAGATTAGACAGGTGCACACACCCACCCTCCCAGCTCCCTGGCCCACGTTATAATTGAAACACCTTCAGGCTTTTAGACTCTTGATGGTTGGAAATATATTGACAAGCTCATGAGGTTGTACAGAAGAGCTAAGAAAAACACTGAAGCTCAGTTAAGTCCAGAACTTTCACATAAACAGAAACACTGAAGCTCAGTTAAGTCCAGAACTATCAAATAAAAGAAAGTATGGTTATTCTGTTATTTGTTTAGTGCATTTTTATCCACCCTTTCTTCAAGGAATGTTGGGTAATCTGTGCCATTTTCCCCTCCTCAGTTTTTCCCTCACAGCAGCCCTGTTAGGTAAGTTAAACTGAGAGAGTGTAACTGGCCCAGGGAGGGCCACCAAAGCAAATTTCATAGCAGACTAGTGGTGTGAACGAGGGGTGTGCGTTTGGCTTCCCTAAGCTGGGGGGGAAAACCGAGGATAAATACCTTATCAGTATTTATTCGGTATTTTTAAGCCGAATGGAAATTCAGGAAACTGTGGCTACCAAAGGAAGTTTCCTGAATTTTTTCAGCTTTCTCGGTGGGTACTGCCGAATGCCCCTGGCTGGGAGGAAGCGAAGGTGCTTTCTCAGCCACAGGCAGGGGGGCACCCAGGGGAGTGAAGGTGAGGCCCGCAGCCCTGCTGTACGGCTGGATGCCTTTCCAGCCATTGAGATGGTGGGTTTCCAAGCAGAGGGGACTGAAATTGACCATTTCGATGGCTGGCAAGGATCCAGCCGAACCGCAGAGCTGGCCCACAGCCCCACTGTTAAGCCTGATGCCTTTCCAGCCATTGAAATGGTAAACTTCAGTCTTCTCCGCTTGGAAAGTCACCATTTCGATGGCTGGAGAGGCATCCAGCCTAACAGCTTTGGCCTAGAGCTTTAAATGCCCCCCTTGGCTTCCTGGCCTCCCCACAGTGGCAGGTGCCCTGTAATGCCAAGGGATGAGGGGGGGGGATCTTTAAACGCCCCCCTTCACTTCCTCAGGCTACCCACCATGGCAGGGCACCTGGGGGAGCCAAGGGGAGGCATTTAAAGATGCCTCCCCTCTTTGCCTTGGCTTTCCCAGATGCCCTGCTGCTGCTGCAGAGAGCCCAGGAAAGCCAAGGGGAGGCTTTTAAAGGTGCCTCCCTTCTGTCCCTTGGCTGCCCGCCGTGGCAGGGCACCTGAGGAAGCCAAGGGGATGCATTTAAAGATGCCTCTTTCCTTTAGCTTCCCCAGGTGCCCTGCTGCTGCTGCTGCTGCTGTGGAGAGCCTGGGGAAGCTAGGGGGACACTAAAAGACCCTCGCCTCTATCCCTTGGCTTTCCCGGGCATCCCACCATGGCAGGGAAGCCAAGGGGAGGCCTTTCTCCCTTGCCTTTCCATGCCTGGCAGTGGCTGAGTGACTCAGGAAGGGAGGGAGGGAAGGGAGAGCAAGAAGGCGTGTTCAAGTGCCTTCCCCTCCCCAAGCTGGTTTAGGCTACTTAAACCTAACAGGTGACTGTGGGCGAGTGAAACTGACCAGTGTGAGTGTCAGTGGGCATTTGGGGGGAAAGGAAGGCATTTAAACATGCCTTCTCCATTTCCCTTGGTATAATAGACCGAATATATTCAGGAATCCCAAATATCTCCCAAATCAGCATACCATACCGATAATGGTGTTCAGGGATCCTGAATATTATTCGGGTCAATTTACCCTGAATCCGAATGAGACCATTTTTTCCCCCTTGCACACTCCTAATTTGAACCTGGGTCTACCAGATCTTATTCCAACATGCTAACCGGTGCAGGTGGTGGAAAGAGCCATCAAGTCGCAGACAACTTGTGGCAACCCACGGTGGGGTTTCCAAGGCAAGAGACCTTCAGAGGTGGTTTGCCTTTGCCTTCCTCTGCACAGACCCTGGAATTCCTTGGCGGTCTCCCATCCAAATAGTGACCAGGGCTGACCCTGCTTAGCTTCAAAGATCTCACGAGATCAGGCTAGTCTAGGCCATCCACGTCAGGGCAGATGAATAGTAGTGGTTTGCCATTCCCAGCCCGCATAGCAACCTCGGACTTTCTTGGTGGTCTCCCTTCCAAGTACTAACCAGGGGAAATCCTGCTTAGCTTCCAAGATCTGAAGAGACTGGGCCTAACCACTACACCGTGCAGAAAGTGGGTACGCCAATTTGGTGTACCAGGTTTGATTCCCCACTCCTCCACTTGCACCTGCTAGATGACCTTGGGCAAACCATAGTTCTGGCACAGCTGTTCTTGAAAAAGAGCAGTTTCTGCCAGAGCTCTCTCAGCCCCACCCACCTCATAGGGTGTCTGTTGTGGGGAGGGGAAGGGAAAGGAGTTTCTAAGCCGCTCTCCTTCAGGCAGTGAAGGGCGGGGTATAAATCCAATCTCTTCTTCTTTTCTCTTTATATGTTCAGCACTGAAACAGGAGAGAGCAGGAGTGGATTCTACCTAGAGGTGTGCAGGAGAATAGTGGCTTTGTGATAGGAGTACCCTCTTGATTTTTGTAAAATAAAAGCCCCCAAGAGGAGATCCTGTTACACTGTTCATGTGCATTTGATACACAGCCGCAGTAGTATTGTTCGGAGGGGGGGGGGCTCTGTGGGATGCAAGCCAACAGTCCTCGTGGGGACAAAGCAACAAGATGTCTGGAGGTGTGTGGTCAGACCACCTTCCTTGTTTCTTTTTCTCATTTAAAGGTAAAAAGTTG